ATTCGGCATAGGACCTCTGTTCTGTCTGTGTCCTGGTATGCTACCTCTACTCATCACATCAGCGTGCAAAACTTGTTTCTTCCCGGCCTTTTCTGAAATCTCATTCTTGGCAGTAGTTTCAACTTCGACCGAGTCAGCTCATCTGGTGACTTTGTTGCATAAACATTGTTACCTCATGTTCTCCCTATTGATCTGTTTTGTTTGTCCACTGTCTCGACCATCTTTCCGCGCCTCAGAACAACATCTCACGCAGGCAGCCTGTCCCTTTCTCAATTCTGAACTTTTGACTTTCCTCACCACTCCGAATTCCCCATCGCTGCCTGACATTTACTTCCACTCATGCATGGCCTTGGCTTCCAGCCATTCCTGCCCAGGGGCAGCTTGGCACCTTTTGTTCCCATAACCGATGGCCCTTGAACTACTTGCCCCTGACGCATGAATGTTGTTGGCATCCTAGCTTCTCACCGCTTGATCCCTCACCACTGCATCTCTTCCGAAATCTTGCTGCCAGTTAACTAACCAGCGCGACATCTCCCAATGGAAAGCCATCGATCAAGACAAGCCAAACCAAAAATAAACAGAAAACATTCGTCTTTTCGTCTCTTCTCGAGGAATTGTCCCCTCTCTCCCTGTTCATTCTCCGAAAAAAGAAGCCTTCGGAATTGATCTCTCCGTCTGCAATTGCCCTACAGTACCAACTTCCCCCCGCCTTAACCGTATCCTTGGTCCGATTCCCAAACTTGACTCCTTCCTTGCCTGGCCCTGACCCTCCCGTCACCTTTCTCTGCCTTGACCAATACCAAACCCACTGCGTGGTCCCTCCATACCTCTACCATTAAAAGAGGGCCCCAGACACTTGGCTCTCAAGTTCATTATGTTCATATTCTCGTTTGTCCCACAAGATATTGATTTTCCGGCACCAACGGGCTATGGGGACTCAGAGTCGAGTGCTGGGTTGCTAGTCGCAGTGGTAGGTTGTATTTGGGAGCAGAAGCGAAAGGCGGACCTTGGGCTAGGCGAGGCATGCCAGGAGGGGAAGAGAGAAAAGAGAAGGTGGCTCGCAAGGGGGATACAGATGCGGGGGATAGAATAGCTGGGGGCCATCTCGGTTACCAGGGGTGTGCATTCCGACTGCTGAACCCCTTTGTTGATAAAGGTAAGATTATTGAGGTGCAGGATGAGTAAGTAGAGAGATATGAGAACAGATGTGCCCGTGGTCATAGACATGGGAATGTAAAGTAGAATAGAAGGCCCAGCTTGATATTGCGGGGAATAAGGAAGAACGTAAACAGAAGACTGCGAGTAACTGTTCTGGGTGTAAAAGCACAAGAAGGAGTCCTGGGATTTAGTTCTCCTCGGAACTATGCGATGATGCAGCTGACATGTTTGTTATGAAGCTTCATAGGATCGGACTGAGCGAACTCGCCGTTGACACTCTTTTAATTCCTTGCATGGGTCCTGTTCCTCTTCTTTTCTCTTCTCTTCGACCTTCTCCTCTTTCCCACCACGGCATTCCCTTCCCCTCGTGACCTCCAGCACCCTCTCCCCATCCAGTAGTATAATCACCCCCAAACCCACCACAACCTCCTTCCTCATTACCCACGTTCATCGCCTCTCTTCCTTTGCCACTCCCAGCGTCTCTCACACATCCCCAGCACCACTCGTATCCCCCCCAACTCTAACCCAACTCCCGACCCTGGCCCAGCTCCTAGCCCAAGTTCCCGACCCCGCCACCCTCCAGAACCCCTCCCCCCTCAACTCCCCGTCCTCTCCATATTGGGTACATGTTCGTAGACCACCTGTCCGAGCCTCGTATTGATAGAAGGCCTTGCAGAGTCTGGATTAGATTCCTCTTCTTTATCGTCATCGCGGAGAGGCGAACAGAAAGGTGTGGAGACATTGGTCTAGGTTGCGTTGGAGGAAGGACGGGGGGGTGGTACGAGGGTAAGTGGTAGGATGAGAGGCTGGAGGATAGGTGAAGGGTGAGAAGCTAAGGGGTTGGAGGCTACAATGTTGAAGACAAACGGTTGGAGAGTACGGGGACGTTGGAAGGTGAAAGATAAGAGGAGGACGATGGGAAGAAGGCTGTGCTGTTGCCGGACGGTGTGGATGTGCTGATTGAGGGTTTTGGGAAGTTTGAATGAGGAAGCTGCCTGGAAGAGCGAGTCTATGAAGTGTGAGGCTTTTGCGATGGCGTTGCGTAGGGGTGAAATTCGAGAACCGGAATGAGTGGGGATATGGGAGGACGTAATGGGTTGGGTGTTGCGAATACTTTAAAGATTGGATCTTGCCCAGTTGGCGTGGTGTTGGTGTTGAGGAGCATGGTAGGAACTGTCACTTAGGCTACCGGTCCTTTGATGCAGACGGGGCTCATGAGGATTCTGGTGTCTGGTGAAACCTTGAGTCGTGGATATGCTCGAGGGATACGGTTTTGGAATTTGATATCGAGGTTCTTTAGGGGGCTATGGAGGGGCAGGCGGGATGTGGTTTGCGCTTTGTGCGTATTGTAAAGGAATACGACTGGGACCTTGCCCGTAATGTTGGTGTTGAGAGACTTGGTCACTGATATTGCCTGGGCTTGCACACTCTTTGATGCAGAGGGGGTATGAATTTAGAAATATTGTTGTGGAGGTCGTACTATTGCTGGACTAGTTTGGTTTGGAGCGCGTTGCATAGCCCGCGGGCCGGTGGGTATGGTAGTACTTGCATTCGTAGGGTCGGGGTTGTCCTGAGGAGGAAGATGACCTGTGATGACGAGCTGCTCTAACCGGTGATTCCCGAACCATGCTCGCCCCCCTGGATGTCGACATGAGTCGGGTATGAGCGCCTCCTCATATCGGAATAGACCGCTGATGGTTGATATTCAGGGTCCTGCTGTGTAGGGGCTTTAGGGTGCTAGCTTCGCAACTAGTGCGTCTTAAGGCGGTGATCATGGACATGTCGTTCTCCATGGTTCTGGCGGTCTTGTCCACTTGGCGGTCGACCATAATGCCCACAGGGACATGATTTGGGGTTCCTATTCAGGTCAGTGATATATGGGCATTGATATCGTGTTCCTACCAAGCACTTGCTCCCATCGAAAAGTGTACTTAAGCTCGAGTATGTGACTGCTCATTAAAGCAATGACAATGAGCATATCACATTGCTTTACCGGTCAGGTAACCAAGCAGTTTCCACAAGCAGTAAATAAATGCCTTCGATGTTTCCTGTCTTACTTAAAACACAAAAACTGTGTCATTCTTTCAGGAAATTGGTCTTGTCTATCCAATGAAGCACACTTGTCCTTCAAGGTAGGCTTCAAAACTAGTTCAAAGCACACTGCTTGTCTTGATAGCAGCAGGCATGGCAGTGCTATTTAGCAGACGCGGCTTGGCACCACTGGATATGTCAACCGTCCTCAACACCTTGAACTCCAGAGTTTGCGGGGTATGCGCAGGTAGCAACTCCATCGGTTTATCCATCTCAACGCTGTTTGGACAGAGACAAGTGAGCTCTCGTCGTCGTGCTCGCGTTACCGTGGTGTCGGTATCCTATCCCCGGACTGGTCCGTGCACTCGTGAGTCTCGGCGAAGAATTAGACGTGGCACGTGTGGGTGACAGACAGCCCGTCTTCTTTAGCGAAGTCGGTAGCCGTGAACCCTTGTCGTCGACACGCAGCATGTGATCGACACCAATGCGGCATCACACTGTTGCAGCAAGCAGTGTCCAGCATTGATGTTTCAGTCGGGTGTCTAGACGGGAAGCGTGTCTTGCCTGTGAAGCTGACATCGGCTCATAGAGGCAAGACTAGGCTGTAGCCGAGGAGGGAGCCTGCCCCAGGCTTATGACACACCGAGAAACGTTTGTACCAATTCGACGGACCCAAGTTGCTGTCGTGGTGGTCATATTCGGCCAAAGCATTCCAACCATGCGACGCAACATTACAACTGCCACTCGACCCGACAGCATCTTTTTTCAGAGTGACATGTGACAGCATCTATTACTTCTGCGCAATGGGGTCGCTTTCGGGGACCATCGGTGACCTTGGGCCCCTTGTCCGTGGATCTCAGAGTTGTTGCCTCCGACGCCCTGACGCCGAGTCGCGACGAAGAACGAGAGTACAATACTTGCGGTGAGGAGGCCGGAGCTCTGAATGGTCGACGGAGACGGGCTCGAGATCAGTCCGGCATCCAAATGTCGGATGAGGCAACGAAAAGCTGAAAGAAAAGCACCCTACTCGCAGGGGGAAAGTACGGAAGCTGCCTTTTCGATGTGGATAAGCAAGATCTGCTTCCATCATCTCGAATGATAGTTGCGGGAGCTCGTGGGTTGATGTGCAGTTGAGGCCTGCCCTGCTGTGCTGACAAACGATGAGGCGTATATATGTTGATCTTGTGGTACTGTGACCGTCGTGTGCCCTGGGTAGGTATGTATAAGCGGTGATTGATGTTGTTGGAGGGTGTCTCAAATTGTCCCTGGTGATGTGTTTTACAGGCGCCCGTCAATGGAATGTGGGACGGCAGGCGGGAAGATGGTGGCGCCTTCGCGGCTGTATCCGTACCTCTATCCGTACAGTGGTGGCGCCAGGAACGATACGCCGGAATACACTAGTCGCGCAGTGCCCTGAGGCGGCCCGGTGGCAGGTACTGTATTATACAGTGAAAACCCTAGTAAGAGCAACCCTGTATATGAGCAACCCCCCCTGTATTTGCAACAGTATCGGCCAAAACTCCCTTTTTTACATGTATAAGAGCAAACGAGCATACAGCAACAGTCTATCTAGTAATTTGCCCTTAAGCAGGGGTACTTCTCACCCAATTACAGCCTCAATACCCCCTTTTATCCGGTATTTGCACATTTTTTTACTTTGGGAGGTGGGGGATCTGGGCGCTAAGGCTTTCTTAGAAGTGCATGTTTTGGTGCTGTGGCCCGTGCACCCTACCCCAGTATCAGCAACCCCCCCTGTTTGAGCAACACTTGTGGCCGGATTTCTGGTGTTGCTCTTACTAGGGTATTCACTGTACAATTATTCCACGAGGGGAACCAACAGCCACCGCAATTACTTTCTTTTTCTTTTTCTCTCAAACGGGAAAGGAGGGTTGCAATGACCTACTGTACTACCTCCAGTTGCGGGTGAACTCACTGTAGGTAGGGTATGAATGGCTACCTCTACCTATTTTCAGCGCCCACCCGACCGGAGGGGATTCCGGTGTCTCGTACCTACAGGTAGAGGTAGCTTCCTGCTCGGGCGTCAGGCGCTTCTGGATTCCCTTCGGTTGATGTCGGGTCGCATTCTGGCCTCGCATCTGTCGTCGCTTCCACAGTTAGGTGACTGCTGCAGTTGGAGATTGGATACCTCTAGGAAGGCGCAGCCGACGATGCAGTGACCACCGAGACACGAGACGCGGGGAGGCCGGGAGTAGGTGAGTGCGGTAAACCATACCTACCTACCTTAGGTAAGGAACCCCACTTTTGACATGGGACGGGATGGAACCCGACCTCGCCCGGCCGCGGTGTTAATGGATAGGCGGGGCAGAAGAGATGAATGGAGTGTTCGTCCACTTTGTTGGATCTCCCTCCAGTCGCAATCCAATAGCGCTTCTCCATTGCTTCTTTCTTCATTCAATCTATTGAATCCTTCCCGCAGGCGTCGTGACACACCTTCACGGCACTCATTCTTTCTTTATTCTACTGCGACACTCCAGTCACTGCGACGAACTCTTGAGCAGTTTTCCAAACACTGTGTGTATCAGCCTCCCGGTTGGCGTCACCGTCACATCGTCTTTTTTTTTTTTTTTTTTGTATTGATCGTACAGTTATCGGACAAAACTTCCCGGCTGTGCTGGATTTCGTCCTGTTTTTCGCTCTCGCTACTTATGTCGCTGCCGTCACGTACCAAATCTCTTCATGTTGCACAATAGGAGCGGCCAAGATACAAGCCACAACGCACCGTTGCCCGTCAACGTCGACGGATGAACCTACTGCTACACTACACAGTCCCCTGCCTCATCTCGTGAGCTACATACCACCCGACACTACCTGGCTACCTGGCACTTTCCGGCCTATCCAGTACCATCAAAAGAGACCGTCCACTCCGCCGGGCCAGTAGCGTAGCTTCGTTGATGCCGAGCAGCGATGGTATTGGCGACACTCAACAGGCACCTGTGTATCCAAAAATGCCACCCTTCTAGAACTGTGTATACTGCGTAGGTAGGTAAGCAACTGTCCTGTTTTCATCAAGCAACTCTTCTGCATTTGTTCCCTTTTCACTTTGCCTTGCATTGGGTATTCCCTTTATTATATTCCCCTTGAGACGTGTCACATATTACACGCCCACGCGATCCTGATCCTGGTGCGATCGACGTCGATTACCAGAAGCATCTTGAGTGTCACAAACATCCACGAGCCACGCCATGCCCCCGACAACCAACACGGACGCTTACCAAGTGGAAGGGACGGGGAGCCGGATGACATGGCTCGCATACCGTATGGGGCATGTCGCCAAGTACACTGCCCTGGACTACTCAAGACATGGATATGAAAGCTTAGCTCGGTTTTTTTACGGGTGGCAACGAACGTTGATTCTTGAACAGGAAATGGCTCTCCTGTCGTCTGTCTGCTCCCTTTTTCTTGTACCATTGTCGTACCGAGCTAAGCTTTTATATCCACGCACAAGTGTAGAGCTGCTGAGCTGCTCGAGCTATTTCAAGATGGAGAGCATTTGCTGATTTGCAATGACAAAAAGAGTCCAAAAGGTTCCTCTGGAGCCTTCGATAGGCTCTTTGCTCATCTCATTACCTCCTGCTACCCCCGGCAGCCAACGTCGGCGAGTAGTTTGGCCGCAGAGGTGTAAGAGGACTTTTTCTGGCGGGTCCGATATACCCCC